GAGGGAAGCAGCCAGCTACACCTGGCAGCTTTGTTTTTTTCCTTAGGCCTGGGCTACACCAAGTTTTTGTGTTTGTGTGAGTAACACACAACTGACCGATAGTGGTTCCTGTCCTAACTGTGTAATAAAGCTCAGCTTGTATGTATACATGCATCAGGGTGTATGTGTGAGAGAGCAAATAACAAGGTAGTTGAAAAAATTAGCGACTCCTTCTCATTAGTTATGATGCAAACTATTCATCCACATCCAGTGAACGTGAAAGGGTTAAAACACTACACAGGTACAGATCCTGTGGCAATTACAAATGTTACTGAAATAAAAGCCAGAAACAGGAAGCCAAAAAACAGGTCCCTAAGGCAGGCATCTGTCTTAAATGATATCATTTGTCAAGTTTCCAGCATCGTGTGGTTGTGAACACAAAAAGAAGTTCTGTGTTACACTAAGGACATTACATACTCATTAACTGGAATGTTCCTGAAGTACATAACACAGGATTTTCATTTAATAAAAAGCAGCTACTTGCCACTGCGGTGTCTATAAAATAAATTCTAGATACACTAATCACCATTCAAAGATGTTCTACCCAGTTTTGGACAGCATGTTTTTTTTCCCCTCCCGTCTTTAGATCACATTGTAAGAATTTTAAACAGAATGTGTTATTGCCACAGGTTAAAAACCTTTTTAGAATCTTTGTATATCCTCTGAGATGTGGATTTTTGTGATGATGAAAATTGAAAGCACTAATGCTGTTATAAGAAAAATGACCTATAGGGACATTTATTTATTATTTTTTGCACATAGGGTAAAAAAAGTAGTAAGGGAGAAAAATATAAGAACAAAATTACTCTTCAGCTGTTTTCCCCCAAAAAAGAATAAACATAATTGTAACGAATTAGTATAATCCCTCTATTTATCCACACACTAGTAGTGCATTAGAGTTAATATACAAGCTCCCCGCTCACTCACTGCCCTGCCAATGACCTTAAGCCTGATGTGGAAGGAAGACCACTCTCCTTAGACTTGAGAAGTAATTTATCCACCATGATTGTTCAGTCCGGGCCCCCTCTCTAAAACCGAGACTGACAACTGTGTTGAATTATGGATGGTACATTTGTAGTGTATACAATGGTATGCAAGGAAAGGTGCTGAGACCATCAAACTCATTGCATTTAACATTGCAGGCTGGGTTTGTACAATGATCTGAGAAAAGATAGAGCCCTTGCTGAGTTGTGACCCTCCATTTTAAAAATATATTTCTGAGATTGTGTCTGAATGAGAAAATAGTCTTGTTGATCATAAATAAAAACAGTTGCATCGTTTTTCCATTTGTAAAAACACATTACATGAGAATATTTTTTTAGTTAGATTTTATTTTACCTGGGATTTTCCCCCCCTCTCCCACATTTCAGGATTTAGCATATCCCCTCAAAACATAATAAATTTATATTCTTTAGCTTAAGGGATCCATCAGTTAAAACGTTAGTCTTTCATCTTTATTACCCTCCCATTAAAATGAAAGAAACCGGGACTCACTTCAGTTTAGAAGAAGCAATTTAGTTGGTAATGTCCTTACTACGCACGTCTTTACAAAGAGAGAAAGTGCATTATTGCTTATATTTCACACATCTATCTGCATAAGAAGCAACTAAACCTTTCAGACACATACTATGTTAAATTTAATAATATTCTTTGATTAGATTATTTTATTACAACATTTTTCCATTACTAGTCATTTCCCATACACATTTACATTCAGAAAATCTGCAGGTTTTTGTGTGTGTGTTAACTCAAGGCAAAGATTTTCTATTTTGCCACAGCTGTTAGATCTGAAAGGGACAGATTAATAACTAACCACCACATTGGACTGGGTTTTCTTGTACATTGCAGCAGTAACCCTTTGCTATAATGAGGACACAAAGAGCCTCACATCAGGCTGCTCCTCTTCTTCATAACTCAAAAGCATCACAGTGGCAATAGCCTCTAGTGCTATTTGTCTTTAGTGCAGTTGTGACACTTCGGCATGATCCATAATTTGGCAGCTATTTACCGTGACATTTCCCTTCAGTGCAGCCATAACATTCAGTGAAGCCATTATTTGGTTCCATTTACCATATAAATTGTATTGTTGTGCATGCATGCTAGAAGCTACATTAGGTACCTGAAAATGAGTAAATCTTGTAAAATAGATACTAACGGCCATTCAGCAGTGGAATTTCTTTACTCCTCAGACTGAATGAGGAAAAAAATAACATTTTCAAATACTGTTTCAAACTTTTCCCTGAGCAACTGTAATTATTTGTATGTATATGACATGGCAGCTATACTTGGCCACTTATTTAAAAAAAACCCCCACCATAAACCATCAAAAACTATAACCTGCTAGCAATCTAACTTAATTCAAAAAGGCATTAGGAGATTCCAGCATGGCAATTAAGTATGGAGCACCTCTGTAAAATGTGCTGAGGTGTACAGACGTGTATATACAGTAGTGTGTGTGTCAGACCTGTATATACAGTAGGGGGTGTGTGTGTGTGCGTGTGTGTGAAGCAGCATATAGCCAGCCCTTCATTACATTTCTTTGTTGTTTTCCATGGAAGTGTGCGTGTGTAGGAAGGGAGAACTCTGTCATTAGCATCAACAAGCAATCTTAGGTTCTGTCGTAGCAAATTCATTTAGAAAGGTAAAATTAGGATGTAGCACCAGCAACTACAGCTTGATCAGTTGCTATTATTAATATTATTATTTAAATCCCCACTCTCTACACATAGTATACTTAGTACTTCCCAGGCACATGTATTATTATTTTTAATCATTTAAGTCCCCACTGTGCACACAGCTTTTAATACACCTTTTTTGCAAGCATATTAAGTGTATTGTTATTAATCCCTTGCTGTGAATCTACACTATTTCTTTTCCTTGTACATTCAATGTCCTATCATTATTTAAACCCTCACTGTGTGCATGCCATATATATTCTCTTGTCCATCTAATACTGTAGCATTATGTATATACACCACAGCTTGCTTATCCAAAATGAGCCTTATGCATACTGTAGCCAGTTCACAATACATACTTTTAAATAAAAAAAGAAAAAAGTTGTCTATGTTCTCACATACCTGAGAATTATCAGTGGTATTAATAGGGAAAAGATAATCTGTATGCCTCAAATATTGCATTTTTTCCAGATAAAGCTGCTCTCTTCAGTAATCTAAAACAACCAGTAATAACTTATCTTTAAAAAATGGGGGGGGGGGAAAAGATCCCTGACTATCTTGGATTCATTCATGGAAGAACAATCATACATATCTTAAGACATCTCTTTAACATACTGGAGAAGTTTGATAAAAATGACAAATCTATTGCTACAGCCAACATAGACAACAAAAGTCTTTAGAATCAGTAAACAGATAATTCAAGTTCTACATATAAAGAAGTTGAACTTTGGTAATAATGTTAAGTGTATTGAAGTTCTGAAGAGTAGCCCAAAAGGTACAATTAGAACAAACACAAATAATGTCACGTTTGAATATAAATACACCTCTACCCCGATATAATGCGACCTGATGTAACACGAATTCGGATATAACGCGGTAAAGCAGCACTCTGGAAGGGGGCGGGGCTGTGCACTCCGGTGGGTCAAAGCAAGTTCGATATAATGCTGTTTCACCTATAACACGGTAAGATTTTTTTGGCTCCCGAGGACAGTGTTATATCGGGGTAGAGGGGTATAAGAATGTGCCAAAGTTGCCTCTATTCCCTCATCTTATTTGTATTAGTGATGGAACTTGTGGCACTTACTACTTTTCTAAATAATCTTTAGTAATTTAACAGTTTATGAAATACTCTATGTCATATATGCACATGGTATACTACTATACATAACAAATCTTAGGCCAAAATGTTCAGACTGGGATGACTAAAAATAGGCACATAAATCTATTGAACTTCAGATGATCAACACCTCTGAAAATCAGGGCACCTATTTAGGTGACTACATATGGATTTTGGTGCACAACTTTAGTTACTCGATTTCAAAATATTGTTCTTCATGACAGACTGTTAACAACTATGGTTCCTTGTCTGGACTTTATCAGTTAGTACAGATCTGAATTGTTTTCTCAGACATTTCTATTGCCCATGGATATGAATATATTTTTTTTAAACACTAGAGAGGACCAGATATGTTGGAGTAAAAGTGTAACTACTGTAGTAAAAATAAATGTACAGTAGGTACAGTATAAAAGATGAAATGTTTTGGAAAATGTTACCACGTCTAGGTTGTATTCCCATTTTACGTATAGGTAATAGCACCTCTTCAGCCAGGAATAACTTTCAAAACAGAACAAACATTTTAACTGAACCCACCGTGTAAACCAGGGATTCTCAAACTTCATTGCACTGTGACCCCCTTCTAATAACAAAAGTTACTACATGTCCCCAAGAGGGGGGACTGAAGCGAGCCCTGCTGCTCAAGGGAGGTAGGGGGGGCAAAGCCCGAGCCTCACCACCCTGGGCAGGGGGGCCCTAAGCCAAACCCCAAGGGCTTCATCCCTGGGCAGGGGGCCTGTAGCCTGAGCCCCACTGCCCAGGGCTGAGGCCGGATGGTGAGACTCAGGCTTTGGCCCTGCGCAGTGGGGTTTGGGTTTCGGCTTTGGCCCCAGGTCCCAGCCAATCTAACGCCAGCTCTGGCTACCCCATTAAAATGAGGTCATGACCAACAAACTCTCACAATTTGAGAACCGCTGGTGTAAACTATTCCCTACTTACGTTTTTATTTATACATGATGTGTATTGGGCACAGAGAATTTATACAAATGACCTTGCTCTTTGCCATAAGGCCTTCACAGTAGCAATACTAAATAATAACTACTAACTTTGCTATGAGAAGCTGTATCAAATATTCATCACTGTTTTAAGTACATTATAATATACTGCACCTCTATGGAAGAGCTAATCTACAAGAAGTGTATCAATATGAAAAAATACCACACACACGGAGATAGCTTTCTGCACTTTATTAAATTGTTAGTACAAGTAAAGGACCACAATACATGTAAACACAATTTAGAACTAAAGCCCAATTAGCCCATCTTGTGGGTTAATGGGGAGAATAAAGGGTAAACAATAAAGATAATAAACACCACGGCAAAAGTATAAAATGACTGTTCCAAATGGTAACCAAAGGCTTGAATGAAAATGGCAGGGTTATGTGTAGTTGCAGACTCTGTCATTTTTTTTTTAATTGTGTTCCCTCCCTCCCTCTTCTTCCCCCCACCCCCCATTTTTCTGCCATGTTAGAACTAATGGATACATTTTCCATATAGAACATGTAATGATATCTGATTATCATACACAAAGTAGCCATAATATCATTACTGAGTTTGCAACCCAAAAAAGTAAAAAGATAAAAAGTATCTTTGGTTTCCCAGAAATGTTAAGGGTTAACAAAGCATCAACAAAATGTTTTGTTTTGCTGTATATGAAAGATATTTTTAAAATCACAGGATCTAAATTGCTGAAATGACCTATATGAAATGTAATGTTTCCAAACAGGATTTAAAAATCTTATCAAAGAAACTGATGGAGCAGCCTCTGCATCATCATTTATTCTAATTGCCCAGAATAATGTTCATATCTAGTATTAGCCTGAGCACCACTGCCTGTAAAAGTTACAGACTCAAACACAAGCACGTTAAGTCCTACAGGCATTGGCTAATTTTTTTTAATCAAAACTTTTTATTAACAACTTAATACAGTTTTAATATACTATCCTTTACCAAGTTTTTTTAAAAAATAAATGGTTTCTAGTAATTCTGAGGCATAAAGTGCCTATTTTCTCTCTCTTGATTTATATCATTGTTCTGTTTTTACAGCTTACTGTTGACAGAGTTAGGTAATTCAACTACAATTTTTCCAATGTTTTTTCCCATGTACATATAATCTACAGCACGGAATACAGACTCCAAGCCAGTGAACTTGCCCTCTGGAGACATGTCTCCGAGGTCCACCTCACAAACCAGTTCTCCACTTTCATACATTGTGAGTAAGTGCTCCATAGCCATTTTATATTCAGAAAGGTAATGATTCAGGAAGAAACCCTGGATGCTGGCAGATTTCTTCAGCAGTTTTGCTGGCAACATTTCTGCTTTAACAGGCTGAAGGCCAGTAGGATTTTGATAGCCAGAGATAAACCCAATAACTATCAGGCGCCCTTTGGTAGCCAAGGAGTTGACAGCCAAGTCAAACATCTTTCCACCAACAGATTCATACACTACATCCATACCTTCTGGGTAGTCCCTTTTAATAACGGCACCAACATTTTCAGTTTTGTAGTTGATGGGATGATCACAGCCAATGGATTTCAGAAAACCAGCCTTTTCATCACTGGAGCAAGTTCCAATTACATGGCACTTTGCCTTCTTTGAAAGCTGCACAGCGAACTGGCCTGTTCCTCCCGATGCTGCAGTCACTAAAACCTTCTTGCCTTCAGACAATTGTCCAAGCTCCTTCAGACTGATGTATGCTGTAGTGCCACTTAGCATTAGAGTAAGAAACTCAGGTTTCACAGAAGGTAGAAGAACTGCTTGTTTGGCAGGCACAACTGTATATTCAGCAAAAGAACCAGGTGTCATATAGGCCACAGCTTGGCCTACTGTGTATCTGGCACTAGCACTGAGGCCTAAGGCTACCACATCACCAATACCTTCAAAACCTACATCAAACGGGGGTTTAACTGAAGGGTCATACCGGCCAGCTGAGTAGTTTATGTCAGATGCATTAATGCCGATAAATCTAGAAGAAAACAAAAATTTGTTAACATGCTTTCTTTGTCAAGTACTTTGCCATGTGAAAACACATCCACTTACATTTTCTGGGTAAGATATAACAATGCATATTCAAATATACCAGTAATTAGAAAAAATATTCACCTCACACTATTAAAAAAAGTCCATATACATAGCATAGCAGTGATTTTAATCAGACTATTGTACCTTATGTTTCTAATATTGTAGAAATTTTAGACACATTTGTAAAAATAAGACATTTTCCACATGGCCATTTTAACCAAAAGAAGCAAACCAAAAATAATTGTGTATGAGACTGGAAAATTAAAATTAATTGACCACTCTACAAAAGATATAAAAACAACTCTGTGGAATAAAATATGTATAAAGTGCTAAATATGTTGATTCTGGCAACAAATTTACATTTCTGATTATAATAATACTGTTAATGACTAACGATAATATTAAGTATAAATGTCATCTGCAAGGTCATTGATCATAACACATTACTGAAGGCAAGTTTTTGTTTTTGTTTTTTTAATGATGGTGTGACTATAGGAAATTTGTCAATTTCAACATTATTAAAATATTTTGCTTTATACCAATTACTTGCAACGCATCAAAACAGCATTGTACAGAAAGACTGAAATTGTAACAGAGTATTCAATGTTTAGAAGTCCTATTGACCTCTAACAGGTGAAAAAGAATGTCAATGTTTTAAAAAAAACACACATATACACTAAACTTGATTAGCAGTAAAAGATAATCATGGTATCACGATCTACTTTAACTGTACAGGCGATATTTTACTAACAATATATTTCCATGTCAATGTAGCTCGTAACTAAAATACCTTGCTACAAAAGGAGAAAGTGGAGGGGGAGAGTCTGTTAACTAGAAAATGTCAAGAAGCTTGCACATGCAGCAGAAGAATCCCAGATTTTTACTACATGTGGAAGCGATAACCTGAAGATTATAGAATTTGGTGTCGTATGAAAAGCTGTAGAAATATGCAAACAGTGCAATTTTAACCGTCAGAGTTAGCAATATTTTCAAATTGTGTGTGTGAGATTTTAAAGTGCTTACACACACAGTACACAAAGAAATGAGAAAATGAAAAAATGCTTTATTTTGATTTTTCAGTTCTTTATACTATGGAGAATCTCAGCCTTTCACTAATATAAAGTGTGTATCGTGTGTGTATGTGTATATATATGTGTGTGTATATATATATATATACACACACACACACATACACACACACACGATACACACTTTATATTAGTGAAGTGTGTATATATATATATTATGTGTATATTCACACACACAGAGAGTGAGACAGTCTATTAATATAAATATATATAATATACACACACAGGCGGAGAGAGAAGAATGTGACTTTTGTTGCTTTCCTTAATTCTGCATTTAATCCCCTGTTTAATTGTAACAAAGAATGTCTACATCCTATTTATAGATAAAAAAAATCTACCATTCTTCTTTAATTTACATAATTCCCATGTCCCATTCTTAAAAATAATAATAATAAAAAAATACAACCACCAGCAGCTTCTATATCAAAACATGTCTCCTCAGGACATTTGAGAAAAATGATCAGAAAGCCAAGGCGCAATTGGTGCTACAACTCTGCATTAGATTTGAAAACCCAACTTTTAGCAGAGGGGTTTAAAAGCAGAGAGATGGTGATCTCCCTCCTTTCCCTCCCTTATCCCTACAACGATAACTTTCAACCCATGGATTTACCACCTCTCCTCCACTCCCAGCCAATTTACCCCTGAATTAGCCTTCTTGCCTGGTACAGACAGAACCTCCCTCCTGGTGCAGAGCCTATTCATGCGCCTTTGATTTTTGCACTGTATGAAACAGGCATGCCCTGTATGCACCGTAGAGAGGGGAGGAATTTAAAATAAAAACTTTTCTCTCCCACCCTTTGCAGTCCCATCTTCTTTTCACTTAGCATCGTTCTTAAAATGGAAAGAGAGGGACAGAGCAAGGCAGGTAATTAACCGTCTAAAGCTAGAAACTTTGTGTGTGAAGGGGAGGGGGGAATGGAAGTACTGCAGTTAGCCAGATGTCTGGTAAACAAGTGTCCTTAACATGCTGCTTTTTACCAGGAGAAAATGCAAATCACTCCCCATCCCTTCTTCTCCCGGCTCCACCAGCAGCTGAAACGTGTGTGCGGGAGAGAGGACGATGCAATGGCAGATCTCGGGGAAAGACACAGTGCAGAAGAAGTTGGTGCTTGCCTGGCACCTCCCCACCTTTTATGGTAACCGTAATAGGGGGAAAGTGCTAGTGTTGGCACCAATAGGGAGTGTGATGTCTCAGCGGGGCTTCGGGGGTCGGCCAGGGACTAAGAGTTGGGGCATCTCTCTGAGGACATTCCATCCTAGCACTCCCTCCCTCTGGCTCCTATTCTCCACCCCGGCATCTCCACCTCCTTCTCCAGCACTTGGCCACTTGCAGCTATCCCTCCCATGCAAGGCTTTATGTGCAGATGCGGATGCCTTTCCGTCTCAACTGGAACTGGGGTCTGCGTTTATTCGGTGGCTGTATTACTAAGGGATTTTGAGATACGCACAGGTCACGCTGTGGAGAAAACATTTGAAAGACTGTCCTCTTGTTCGCGATCCCTGCATTTTCCATTTAAAACGGGGCTAGGAGTCTCAACAAAAAAATAATAATAGATGATTAGGAGGAAATAAAGAAATGCGAACTACTATATAATGTGTTCGAGGCTCGCTGGTAATATTTGTTCTGACTATCCCAGCCCCCCCCCCCACCCCCAGTCTTCCAAGCTGCCTCTGCCATCTGAAATTATTCTCTCGGGACTAGGGGAATCATTATTATTAATCAATATAGTCTCCAAGCTTGCTACAGTACTCCCCACCCCACTCCTTTTTCTCAACCCACCAATATTTGTATAACTCCCATTTGTGTTCGCATATAGTTTTATTTTTTAAATGTAGTCTCCCTAAATGTCCCATATACAAACAAATGATCAAACCACAATGTCGGGATTAAAACATATTGTCTAAATCCTTTTGAACCTTGCCTTTCAAGGTACTACGAGGGAGATGGTTTGCTGTGCTGTGCCCCGGACGTTTTCAGGATCTTTCATTTTAAGCGCAGAAATAAATTCAAGACCCACTTCCAAACTCGTGTGTGTGAGAGCGAGACGAGGTGGGTGTAGAGGGGGAGTAAAGAAGTGCATTCTGTGTTTGCAGTATGCCTTCAGAATTCTTTTCAAGTGATCTGCCTGTTTTAATTCCCAAATTTAAAATGTCTTTGTTATTTGACTAAGGAGGGTCTGGTGAGGGCACCGTCTTTCGCTATTTTCAAAATCTGAAGCGCTGAGACACGGAACCAGACTGGGGCTGGCTTTTCCCAAAATTACTACACACTCCGAGTCACCCGCTTTATTTACACTGAAGCGTGCTGACCCCCTTAGTATTGTTTATTATAAAACCAGGACGAGCCCGAGGAGGGGTGAAAATGCTGCTTCTCGCACCAAAACAAAACGTAAGAGACAGAAATTCAGCACAAGAGCCTTCAACACTAAGACAAAACAAAGTAATCCAAACTAGGAGCGCAGAAGAAAAACAAATTCTCAACCCAAACACTCAGCAGAAATAATCCCCCACCCCTCCCACTGTGATCCGCCAAACCATGAATCAAAAACTTTCCCCCCTTCCATTTCAATAAACTTTTTTCCCCCTATTGACTTCCACCTCAGCAGAAAATCGTTAAAATATTTTGGAAACGAAATAACCTGTCACTCCTTTACAAAAAGCTCGAAAACATCGCATACTGTAGGGGAAACCTGGGCTTTTGTCTTTGGGTCGTTCTTCTGCAATAAAACAGAGGCACCTTCCCCCTCTTGAAAATAGAACAAATGCACATAAGAAGCCTAAATGGTTATGTTAAGGATTCTATTCCCCTTCTCCCTCCCTCCTTCACCCGAAAGAGAAAGTTTATTGTTTTCAATCGATTTCTAGTTTAAAAGCATTGCTCTGAGAGTAAAGGCTATGATGGATTTTTCTGCTAAGAACTAAGGGAATCATCTTGGGTTATTTTTCCACCGAAGGGAAAAAAAAAGGGGGGGGGGGAGAAGAGTTCCACTTAATAGCAGAGCGTCTTATTTGAAAAATCAATAAATACAAGGACCACAAAGCAGTTTTCCACCTTAGTCCCCTAAATCCAAAAGCAGATTTTACTGTGGTGAATGAGGATTGTTTTGCATAAAAAGCTCGAAGCAATTAATACTGTTCATGGGCGTGACTGGGACTAAAATGAACAAATCCGCAACTGCACCCTTCAAACTCAAGGCATGTATTGTTTTGTTTTTAAGATCCTGTAGGCTTCTACCTATTGTAAAATGTGTTTTTAAGAATAAATAAAGCCAGGGACACATTTTGTGCTTTCGGGATGGGAAGCAGCTTCCCCAGGATAGTACAAAAGGGGAAAGGGGGCTTGTTTCCTGCTGCAGCTTTCAGGAGGCACAAACAGAGAATATATATATGGATGTGATGTGAGATTCCCCAGCAAATAATAATAAAGAGAAAACTCCGCACAACCCCACACAATACAAAATGTTTTAACTCCACACCTCAAGTTAGTACTTTCCCCCATTCCTGCCCCTTTTTATAAACTGATCTGTGTTAAAATACAGTAACTGCCTGGCTGAGTGTCTGGATCAGCTCCTGCTTTCACTCTGGGGCGAGCCGAGAGCCTCAACCCCACCACTCTGAGGTGTGCACGTCCCTCTGGCCCCCAGGGAGCCCACCCAGGACCAAGGAAGGGGGGGGGGAGAGAAGGAAGGAAGCGTTACAGTGAAAACAAAATAAATTACATGAATAAATTTTAAAATTTCATAGGAAAAGAGGGAGAGACAGTGTGTGTGGGGGGAGGGGATTAGAGAACAACGACGTAACAACCTTATCATACCCAGCTAGGCAGGACTAAGACTTGCTACATTTTTCTGTAGCTGTTTGTAGTGTAAGGCAGTCGGGTCCCTTCCAAGAAAAGGAATTTAACTCCAGCCTGATGCGTGTTTCATGCCATTATTGTTTCAGGGCCATTCCTTATTAGATGCAGCAAGTCAGTGCTTTACACCTCTCTCGCTCTTTCTAACTCTCTCTCTCAAAAATCCTATAGGTTGATGGCAGCAGCGGATTAAAGTTTTGTATGAATCTTTTTCAGTCGCAGAAGTCCATTCTTCTCTCTTCCGTGCGCAGGTATTGCACAATACATATATTATGAACCCCCCACCACACCCACACACACATTAGCTACAGATAAGGTACACAAACACTTTTATTAAACTTCCAGTTTTGATCTCACGTCTGTTAGTGTATTTCATTATGCACTGTCTTTAAACAACCAGTTCTACGTATGGACAAGGTTTTTGTTAGACAAGTCTTTTAAAAACAAGTTTCCCCCTTTCCCCTCTTGACAGCAACAATTACATAATCTTCCATGGGGTTTCTAGAGTTCCAGCTTCCACCAAGGAAAGTTAGACCTTTAAAAGCCCTACTTTTGTCTTAAGGAACGATACTATCTAGGCGGGAACCAATAAAAATAAATAAGTCATTTGGGGAAAGGTACATTTTGTCCTTACAGGCTTCATTTTATTGGGCGCTGACCAAGAAGCTTGAACGGACAGTACTAGCTAGCACACAATTTACTGCATATTATGTTAAGCAAAATGTCACATCTTTACTCCCTGTGTGACCCTGTTTCATTAAAAATAGCTAACAATTTAGAAATCCTACTTCCCACACGAGACTAACAGTGGTAATAAACTTTCTAAAAGGTTGGAGAGGCTTATGCGGTTTGTTAAAAGCTTATGGCACACCGAGAAGCTTCTCCTTTCCTGGTTTTAATGTTTGCACTTCAGGGGGAAGAAGAGAATGGAAGTGGTGGCCAGGCGGTTGAAGGGTGACAGGGGAAGGAAGGAGAGTAGCACTGACAGACTGAGGTCCTCTGCCTTCCTGTTGATTCATACTCACTAAAGGTTAGTGACGTGGAGGACTACGGGGGGGGGACGGACCCCTCCAGACACACAGGGAAACGTACTCACGGTTGTACACATACATAACACATAAAACAATCATTGGTGTATGGTCTATCTACACTTACACACTCAGACCATGGCTATAAATAACACATAACACAGAGGCAGACTGCTATATATTAATGTCACGCCGACATTTACATGGCTAAGACAGACACACACGCTGGTGATTGTATGTAAATGTATCACACACAAACCTGGGAGGGACTTAGAAATCATTTTCTGGTTTTTCAGTCCCTCCTGAACACTTACTTCACGTGCAGCTTTCTGTTTAAGATCATGCTGCCCTTTCCCACCCTTGAAAATGGCTACTAAAACAGTGATTTGTGAGGCTGTGTTCTTCCTCCGGGGTAGGAGAATAAATACTGCTTGATCAGCTGCATTTGTAAAAAAAAGGGACAAACCAAAACAAAAACGAGCACCTCGAAAGATGCAGAAATCCCCACCCTCCCCAATGCATGGGAGGAAATGATTGTGGCATCAGACATTCAAAACAAACAACAACAAACCAACAACAAAATCAAATTATCAGGCGCCAGATGGCAGCTGGTACAACCTGATAGGATGACAGAGCAAGAGAAGGCCACAGGAGGTGAGAAGTCAGAGGGAGTTTGAGCAGGAAAAGGGCTCAGACCCCAGGGGTAGGAAGGAAGGTAGGTGAAGAGAGAAGTCGGGGGCTGGAGAGGGGAAGGGAACTCACCTGTTTCTGACAAGAAGATCTCCATCTCCCGGGAGTGGTACAGGCGCGTCCTGCCGCAGGGCAACAGCCTCTCGGAAGTTTGAGCTCAGCTTAGTCACCACCAGCTTCTTCATGGAGCTGGGGATAGACGAGCCCTGGAAATCCAGAAAGTGACGGGAGTAGGACATGTCCAATATGGGCCGGGGCCGAGCACCACCAAAGCAGGACCAGAAGGGACCCTCCAGAGGACACAGCTGCTGCCGCCGCCTCCTCCAGAACCGAGATCCCCAGCACCTCAGCAAAGCGCTGCTTTTTGTATTAAAACTCATTCCCAGCCTTAGACCTCTTTCCCACACTCATCACCCTCGGGGGGTGTCCAGCTAAGAAGATTCTTCGGACAGCTTGCAAAACCCACCACCACCAAACTCACAAGAGGAGACACTCTGGCTCTCTGAACATAGCTATTTGTGTATGTAAATAACGTCTAATGTAGCAAGCTGCAGCCTGTCTGCGTCCTCCCAGCCCAGCCCCTCCACAACACGGAAACACCAGAGAAGCAGCACCACCAGCAAGATGATCCCCTGGAGCTGATCTTCATTTACCGTCACTAACATGAAACAGGAACAAAGTTCACCTCCTAACACAGTCCCGCCTGCAAAGCTGCTGCTACAGCAAAAATTGTGGGTGCATGTGTTTGTGTGTGATCTGCAACAACACAGAAACACATGCATGCATGCCTGCCTCTGTAATAATATAACCAAATCTGATCACCGCTGCCAGGAATTTCTTACTTTCAGTAAAATACAGATTTGCAAGATATTCCGTTCAAATGTTTGTTTTTTAGTTTGCATGCTGCATTTTAGCAAGGGATTTAAAATATATAAATATAAAACCGTGCCGCATTCCCACCCCTATGCCCCTGGTTTATAAAAGACGGATATGATCCCTTAAAAAAAGTTGAAAGAAAACACGAATAAATTATAAGATCAATAAGGTTAGAATAGTAAAGAGAAGTTGCAGCTAATCTTCTAATGTTGTTATTAGGAGCAGCTGGGGAGCTGCAGGCTGCTGATACAGGCACCGCCCCTTCCGTGCGAAACATTCACTTCCTTGCAAGGTGGTACAAATCAACCCAGAGCCGCTAGCAACCACTAGTGGATACAGCACTTAGATTTTGGGGAGAATAAAAGCACTACGATTTATGAAAGGATTTAAAGCATCTTAAGGATTGTTGTGTGTGTTCTGTCTATAAAGAAAAAAAATACTGCTGATGTCCTTCTAGGCGGGAGACACACACACACATGAAATGCACTTTACAGCCTCATGGATTTTATAGCTCTCTATAACCCGTATACAGTTAAACGAAACAGTGGATCCTTCCCCCACCCCCTTTTAGCTATGACATTAAAAATATTGCCATATATTTATTTTGGCCAAAAATATTTTTTCCACTCCTCTGTATCTTTAGGGGAGGAATTTTTAAATCAACTTCTGCAATGCAGAATTACTTTTGGGAGAGTATTTATAGGAAATCAACTGGGAGGTCAAAGGACTCAAGTAAATGTTTTGCTAGAACTGCCAGTCTGTACTTGGTGATGGTGGAAGTTAATTTAATAGAGCTGTTGCAATGGTGTAGGAAGAATTCATGTATAACTCACCTGGAATTAACTCCATCATTTCAATATGCACAACTCATTTCTTAATTGCATGGTATTAATAATTAAAATCATAATAAAATCACCTTTTTGCCTTAAAGAAAGAAAAGTTATAGCTTCGAGTGTTTTCCTTTGGGAATCAGTATGTAGTTTTAATCTTCTTGCCTTAAAAAAGGGGGGAAACACCTTCTGTTCTTGCAGTTAACAATATATGAATCCCTAGACATAAACTATGCAAAATCTATTAGTAGCATTTCATATGCTGCAGTTCTTGCTCTGCAATCTGTTGGTGTTTTAAAGAAAGGAAGACCTGCAATCTCACACAAATCATCCTAAATTCAAGGAGGGGGAATAATGTTTATGTGTGTGCCAAGACTAGGTAGCATCTCTTGCTTTTTAAGTTTGCCAGAACTAGACATCTGCTTAAGTTAAATCAGCACATGCGTCTTGCAGAGTACTTTAGCAAGTGGATTATAATAACAAAACCCTCAATGTGTGCCTCACATGAGAAATCTTTTATGCTATGCTGTATTAAGACTTCTTTTTTGTCATATTGTTTAGCTCTGGAAAAAAATGAAAACACAGCAATTAAAAAGATTGACAGGTATGGGTTTGTGTGAGACCTATTTGTAATTGTCAGGGTGACGTGGGCAAGAGGAGGAGGAGTAAAAAACTGAAGCAGGAAAAGCAAGCTCGATGTGTCTGTCTATCAGTTGAGACTGTCTGAAAGCTCTGGGATCTGAATGTGTGTTACATTTCAGTGAAAAGAGAAGAGAGGGAGAGTGGATCTCTTTCTCTCCCAGGAGTTTTAAGGGGGGGGGAACAGTTCACGTTAATCTCTCCCACCCAGTGAATATATGTTCTTTTTCTCCCCCTTTGCACACACTCTCCGGGGTTTTTCTTGGTTTTGGCTTTTTTTTGTTTTTCTGTTGCAGATCAAGATCAACCAAAAAATCCATGATAAAAAATGTGTTTGAATTATATTTAGTATCAGAAGAAGCTGCGATCTGTGGAGGAAAAGAAAGGGGGGAGCAAGGCAGAAAAGTAGTCCTCTCCGGTGCTGACACTGTTTGATCTGTGACTGTTTGGAAGGTGGACGAGTGACTGACATTTCCCATCCGGTGCATATGTATGTATGGGGACTTTACTCCTTTTTATTATTTGCTTTCTTGCTCTAAGACTAAGTGCTGAGAGGAGAAGGAGAGACTGGATCGACCTCGTTTTTTGCACAAAGAAAAAACTATTATCAGCGCAATAAAAAAAAACCCAGAGAAACCCAACAACAACAACAACAACAACACACAAATCCACGAGCTTGAAACAAGCCAGCAAGCGAGAAAGTTGCGCTTTGAGACTCTTTGATCTTGGAGAAAGGAGGGGAGGGGGGGTGGGGAGTGACTGAATTTACCGTCTCATCGTTGCAGCTTGCTCAGTGCTCCACCGAGAAGAAGTGATTAAGGGAGGGAGGAGAGGGGGAAGAAAAAGAAGAAGGGGGGGGGGTGGAGAAGGAAAGCAAGAGAATGGATTTGGGCTGAAGATTGAACTGATCCAATCTATTCATTTTCCACATCTCTCCACTTGCATCTTCCCTGCCGCTGCTGCTGCGAGGACTGAAGAGCTTTGTCTTTTAAGGAACTTAAAAGAGGGAGAGAGAGCGCGAGCGAGGAAAATTAACCTCGTCAATGAAAACATTTCCCGAGCAAGTTTTTGGAGTGGCGGCGGAAATTGGCAACCCTGTCACCAGGCTGTGGCTTGCCTCATCCCACACCCCGCTCCCCCCTCCCTCCACACCCCGCTTGCAGCGCAGGGAGCTGACCTGGGGAGGGGGGACCCAAACCAGCCAAGAAGAGAATCCAGCCAAACTTTTTTTCTTCCTCCCCCCCCTCCCCATTCCTCCCTTCTCTCCTCCTAGGCGGAATTAGAAGTTGAATCCGTTTTCTCTCCCCTTCCCCTCCTTCCCCCCCTTTTTATTTGTGTGTGTGTGTGTTTGTTTCTGCATGAGAAGAGTGGGCTTGGAAGAGGAGTCCTGTGCGGAAACTCTCCAGCGGCTGCAGCGGAGGAGGAGGCGGAGGGCGGCGGCGGAGGCAGCACCAGTATGCCGAGGAGAAAGCAGCAAGCACCCCGGCGCTCTGCAGGTAACACCCTCCTCCTCCCCAGCCACAGCCCTTCGCACTTGCAGTCTCTCGCATTACAGCGGCATAGGGGAGCAGCGAGGGCAAAGCAGGGGAGGGGTTAACCCAGCAAGAAATATCCACCACCAGGCAGGGGGAGATTCTCGATCGCTGTC